AAAGAGTGAAAAATACAATGGTGAGACCAGGGAGAAGTGTTGTGATGAGATATCAACTTTACTATTGAGAAGAAACACCCGAACTCAGAGTTATTTCATCTGGCTGATGAAATGCTCAGTGCAAGAACCCAGTTGCTTTTGACCCGAACGGGGTGCAGCAGAACTATAGTTTATTTAAAGATATAAGCCAAGAGTGAAAGCAACTTTAATTTCTTACACATACTGTCATATTGCAACCCCCTCGGGGGCAGGGTATGTGTCTGTCAGGACAGGGGGTTGGGGAAAGTTGGTAAAGGACAGTACGTGTAAGAAATGTAAGTGTAGGATGGAGTGCGGGGGGGTCAGGATGTGTATGTGGGAGCTCACGGTAGGTGTCTGAGGAGTGTGGGAGCTTGGTGATTTGGGGGATGGCAGGAGTCAGGGCAGGGGGTTGGGTTGGGGGTGTAGGAGTCAACGCGGGTGGAGGGTGAGGGGGTTAAGGCAGTAGTGTGCAGGAGTCAGGACAGGCGGTTAGGGAGGACTCAAGGAAAGCAGTTGGGTGGCGGGGTGGAGCTCAAGGCAGGGAACGAGGTCACTGCACTGCCTGGCTGTGAGACCCCCGGGGTTGGGCAGGGCAGTGGGGATCATGCTGCCCAACCACCCAAGCACCAGGGCTGGAGCCTGCGTGGGCTGCATCCAGTGGTCTCCAACCTTTTTAAGCACAAGATCACTTTTTGAATTTAAGTCAGTTCAGGAACCCAAATACCCCTGCCCCCGCCCCTTCTCCAAGGGCCTGCCCGTGCCCCGGCCCTTCGCTGAGGCCCCTGTGGTGGAGTGGGGGGGCTGTCTGCTCTGTGACCCGGGGTCCCCCTGCGCAGTGATGGGAGATTCTCACTGACTCTCCCAAATGTGGATTAACCCAGACACCCAGGCTCAGCCTCCCAGGGAGAGACACAAAGGGAGGAAGGCGGAGACCAGCACCTGGCTGGGGGGCAGGGCTGGAAGAGAGGTTTTTAGTTTCTGTCTGGTATCATGGAGGAAGCATCCTGAGGAAGGGGCTGGGATTTAGGGGCCCAGTCTCCCCCATCTCATGGGGGCTGAGGCACCCTAGGCTTGCCCTGTAACCAGATTACATCTATGCTGCGATGTATCCTGGAGAAGCAGTAAACTCCCTCTATTCTACTGGCTGGCAGAGTCTGTTCGTGGCACTACGGGGGTGCAGGAGACGGGGGCAGTGGAGCCCCCGTAGTGCCACCCCACCCCCTCACTCTGTGAAGATGGGGCACAGGAGAGGGGGACAGAGTGAGGTCAGCGCCCTCCTGCCTTGGTCTCCTCCACCTTGCACACCAAGCAGGAGGCTCCCAGGGGGCAGCTCTGAGTCTCTGGGCAGGAGCAGCAGGGCAGTGGAGGGAGCCACAGTTGAAGAGTTGACACTTGACAGCCTCCCAGCCAAGATCACCTGTCAGAGGCTCCTAGATCCTGATCTACTGGTTGGTGACCACTGAGCCCTGCCCAAGTTGGCTAGTCTCTTGTCAGTGTGCTGCACTGGGGCGCACCAGCTTGCTTTCACCTTTGATAATATCTCAGCATCCAATGGCTTTTAATGCAGGGCCCTGGTCCAGAATTCTGTGCCCCAGCTGACTCTGTGAGTGTTAAACAGCAACAAAGGGCCGGTTGCTCCCTTCATTTACCTCTTAATGAAAAGCTGCAGGAAAAGTGCCGGATGAATTATAAATGAGCTGACTCTCCTCCCGTCTCCCCGCCCGAGGATGGTTTCTGAACACTCCAATTTGCCATCAAATAGGCATGACCCTCAGATAGGCTGGCACGTAAGTAATCGTCCCAGCAAACGCAGAGCTCCTAGCTGCCAGCTCGGCTCTGCCCCCAGCATCATTGCACCTGGACGTAGCAGTGCGCTATGTTTCCATCGAGGTTGTACAGAGCACAGGAGGAGCCCAGTTACAATCCAGTTTATTTCTGCTGTGTCATTCCTACCATGTACTCTCAGTTGAGTACAGTCCATACCACTAAACATAAGTCAACTCTAGAAGGTATTTACAGAAAAATCATAAAAGGGGCTGGAATTTTACTGGCTGCTGTAAATGGAGCCGCACTGGTTTGTTACATCAGTGGAGTTATTATGGCTTTACACCCGCATAAGTAAGAGTAGATCCAGGCCTTAAGTGTCTGACTGTCATCCTAACCCACATTCCACACATTGTATCAGTTCCATTCAGCCAACACCCAGCTTGGTGGAACTCAAGCATGCAGGGCAGTGGAGTTTTGGGAAGGGGGTTGAGGGTGGGGTAAAGAGAAGGGGAGCACTGAGAAATGGTGTTTCATGAAAGACAGAACTCTTGTTTCTTTAGGGATTTACATAAAAGAATGCTCAGAATACTGTCACCTGGGTAATCAAACACAGGGACTAACTGCAGCTTTTGCGTTGCAATTAGGAAAACCCCTGTCCCGAGAAGATTTCTGGACAGTGTCTGCCATTTGAGAGGTGAAGTATTGGTCCCAATTCTCCCCCACCAGACCTCTTATGGTCTCGAACAAGGCATAGTCCAGTGTTCCAGAACAGCTGCAACAAAACACGACTTCCTATTTCTCTAGCATCTTACACTCTCTGATCTCAAAATTGCATTACGAACATTCATACCTTAAAGCTTCACAACCTGCTCTGTCAGGCAGGTTGTACAATCATCCCCATTTTAAAATCAAGGGAAACCGAGATACAAAAGTTAAGACTCACCCCAGATCACAGTGAGAGTCCATTTAGAGCTGGGATTCCAGCTGTTGAGTCCCTGGCCTCCAGTTCTTGGAGAGCCTTTGACAACCTGCACTCTCATCCCTTTCCTGGAGTTTGTTTTACCATCAGACACAGATAACGTTCAGTTCCATTCTTCTCCCTGATCTTGGCTGTTCTTAGGGTTCCTCCCTCAGAACTGCTCAGCCCACACCCTAGATCCCTTACCTCCATAAAGCCACTCCCTGTATTCCTTATATCCAGGTGGATTAATAAGTCCACAGTAAAACCCACCTAACTCTGTCCTGGCAGGATCTACATATATAAGAGTGGCATGTCTCAGGCTGAGAAACAGCTGTGTATACCCTAAAAACCATCAGGCAGGGGAGTTCTAATGCCAGCTGCCAGCGTTTAGAGAAGTATCCTGCCTATACAGGCGAAAACATGGAACAGCTGAAAAGTGCTTTTACACATGGGCTCTTTAGTGCCTAGGATCCAGTGCAAAGACAGCTTGCACAGGGCATGGGGCAATGTAAATCTGACAACCCCTCCACTTCCTCATGCCTCCGCATGGCTTGCACTTATCTATCATGTGATTCTTATGGCTGTGACCCGAATGACTTTGCTGTTGAACAGAATGGCAAGGCGTGGCAGCACAGCCAGGCCCTGGGGCTTTGG